GATTACATTCAGGGGTAAACCAATAAGGTTAACAACGGATTTTTCATCACAGACGCTGAAAGCAAGAAGATCCTGGAACAACGTATTTCAAACACTGAAAGACAATGGATGCCAACCAAGAATTCTGTATCCAGCAAAATTAAGCTTCAGGTACGATAACGAAATAAAAATCTTTCATGATAAACAAAAGCTAAAAGAATTTGCAGCCAGAAAAACAGCATTGCAAAGCATCTTGAGCAAAACACTACACGAGGAAGAAATGAAAAACAATAACCAAAACCATCAGTGGGAAGTGCCTCTATAAAGACAGAGGGTGGGGGGAAAGCTAACCATGGAGAAACAAACTAAATTAAAAAAAAAAAAAAGAAGAAGATAAATAATCAAACATGGCTGGATGTACAAACCATATATCAATAGTAACTCTAAACATTAATGGCCTAAACTCTCCAATAAAGCGACATAGGCTGGTAACATGGATTAAAAAAAAACAAATCCAACAATATGCTGCCTCCAGGAGACACATCTGATTGGAAAAGACATACACAGGCTGAAGGTGAAAGGTTGGGAAAAAATATACCATGCACACGGTCCTCGTAAGCAAGCAGGGGTGGCCATCCTCATATCGAATAAAATTGACTTCAAGACTAAATTAATCAAAAGGGATAAGGAAGGACATTATATACTGTTAAAAGGAACCATTCACCAACAAGACATAACAATTATCAATATTTATGCACCAAATAATGGTGCTGCGACGTTCATAAAACAAATTCTCCTCAAGTTCAAGAATCAAATAGACCACAACACAATAATTATGGGTGACTTCAACACACCTCTCTCACCATTGGACAGATCCTCCAAACAAAAGCTGAATAAAGAAACTATAGAACTCAATATCACAATCAACAACCTAGACTTAACTGACATATATAGAATATATCAACCATCATCAAGTGGATATACTTTTTTTCTCAGAAGCACATGGATCCTCCTCAAAAATAGACCATATATTATGCCATAGGGCAACCCTCAGTAAATATACAGGGGTGGAGATAATACCATGCATTTTATCTGATCATAATGGAATGAAACTGGAAATCAATGATAAAAGACGGAAGGAAAAATCCTACATCACATGGAAAATGAACAATATGTTACTGAATGATCAATGGGTTATAGAAGACATCAAGGAAGAAATCAAAAAATTCTTAGAGATAAATGAAAATACAGACACAACATATCGGAATCTATGGGACACAATGAAAGCAGTTTTAAGAGGGAAATTCATCGCTTGGAGGTCATTCCTCAAAAAAAGGAAAAACCAACAAATAAATGAGCTCACACTTCATCTCAAAGCCCTAGAAAAGGAAGAGCAAAACAACAGCAAATGTAGCAGAAGGCAAGAAATAATTAAAATCAGAGCGGAAATCAACAAAATTGAAACAAAAGAAACTATTGAAAAAATAAACAAAACTAAAAGTTGGTTCTTTGAAAAATTAAATAAGATCGACAGACCCTTAGCCATGCTAACGAAGAGAAGAAGAGAGAGAACTCAAATCACAAACATACGGGATGAAAAAGGCAATATCACAACAGACACTACAGAAATATAGAAGACAATTAGAAATTATTTTGAAAACCTATATTCCAATAAAATAGAAGATAGTGAAGACATCGATAAATTCCTTAAGTCATATGATTTGCCCAGACTGAGTCAGGAGGATACTCACAACTTAAACAGACCAATAACAATAGATGAAATAGAAGAAGCAATCAAAAGACTTCCAACCAAGAAAAGCCCAGGACCGGATGGGTATACAGCGGAGTTTTACAAAACCTTTAAGGAAGAATTAATACCAATACTTTTCAAGTTATTTCAGGAAGTAGAAAAAGAAGGAGCTCTGCCAAATTCATTCTATGAGGCCAACAACACCCTGATTCCGAAACCAGACAAAGACACCTCAAAGAAAGAAAACTACAGACCAATATCTCTGATGAACCTAGATGCAAAAATCCTCAATAAAATTCTGGCGAATCGGATACAAAGGCACATCAAAAAAATTGTGCACCATGATCAAGTAGGATTCATCCCTGGGATGCAAGGCTGGTTCAATATAAGGAAATCAATAAATGTTATTCACCACATCAATAGACTTAAAAATAAGAACCATATGATCATCTCAATAGATGCAGAAAAAGCATTCGACAAAGTACAGCATCCCTTTATGTTCAAAACATTAGAAAAACTAGGGATAACAGGAACTTACCTTGACATTGTAAAAGCTATCTATGCTAAGCCTCAGGTTAGCATCATTCTCAATGGAGAAAAATTGAAGGCATTCCCCCTAAAATCTGGAACAAGACAGGGATGCCCTCTATCACCACTTCTATTCAATATAGTTCTCGAAACACTGGCCAGAGCAATTAGACAGATGAAAGAAATTAAAGGCATAAAAATAGGAAAGGAAGAACTTAAATTATCACTATTTGCAGATGACATGATTCTATACCTAGAAGACCCAAAAGGGTCTACAAAAAAACTACTAGAACTAATAAATGAATTCAGCAAAGTGGCAGGATATAAAATCAACACGCATAAATCAAAGGCATTTCTGTATATCAGCGACAAAACTTCTGAAACGGAAATGAGGAAAAACACTCCATTCACAATATCTTCAAAAAAAATAAAATACTTGGGAATCAACCTAACAAAAGAGGTGAAAGATTTATATAATGAAAACTACAAAACCCTAAAAAGAGAAGTAGAAGAAGATCTTAGAAGATGGAAAAATATACCCTGTTCATGGATAGGCAGAACTAACATCATCAAAATGGCGATATTACCAAAAGTTCTCTATAGGTTTAATGCAATGCCAATCAAAATCCCAATGGCATTTCTTGTAGAAATGGATAAAGCAATCATGAAATTCATATGGAAAAATAAAAGACCCAGAATAGCAAAAGCAATTCTAAGCAGGAAGTGCGAATCAGGCGGTATAGCGATACCAGACTTAAAACTATATTACAGAGCAATAGTAACAAAAACAGCATGGTACTGGTACCAAAACAGGAGGGTGGACCAATGGTACAGAATAGAGGACACAGAGACTAATCCACAAAATTACAACTATCTTATATTTGATAAAGGATCTAAAAGCATGCAATGGAGGGAGGATAGCATCTTCAACAAATGGTGTTGGGAAAACTGGAAATCCATATGCAACAAAATGAAACTGAATCCCCTCCTCTCGCCATGCACAAAAGTTAACTCAAAGTGGATCAAGGAGCTAGATATCAAATCAGAGACTCTGCGTCTGATAGAAGAAAAAGTTGGCTCCGATCTACATATTGTAGGGTCGGGCTCCAAATTCCTTAATAGGACACCCATAGCACAAAAGTTGATAACAAAAATCAACAAATGGAACTTACTTAAACTGAAAAGTTTTCTCTCAGCAAGAGAAACAATAAAAGAGGTAAATAGGGAGCCTACATCATGGGAACAAATTTTTACTCCTCACACTTCAGATAGAGCCCTAATATCCAGAGTATACAAAGAACTCAAAAAATTAAACAATAAGAAAACAAATAACCCAATCAACAAATGGGCCAAAGACCTGAACAGACACTTCTCAGAGGAGGACATACAATCAATCAACAAGTACATGAAAAAATGCTCACCATCTCTAGCAGTCAGAGAAATGCAAATCAAAACCACCCTAAGATACCATCTCACTCCAGTAAGATTGGCAGCCATTATGAAGTCAAACAACAACAAGTGCTGGAGAGGATGTGGGGAAAAGGGTACTCTTGTACATTGCTGGTGGGACTGCAAACTGGTGCGGCCAATCTGGAAAGCAGTATGGAGATTCCTGGGAAAGCTGGGAATGGAACCACCATTTGACCCAGCTATTGCCCTTCTTGGACTTTTCCCTGAAGACCTTAAAAGAGCGTACTACAGGGATACTGCTACATCGATGTTCATAGCAGCACAATTCACAATTGCTAGACTGTGGAACCAACCCAGATGCCCTTCAATAGATGAATGGATAAAAAAAATGTGGCATTTATACACCATGGAGTATTATGCAGCACTAAAAAATGACAAAATCATAGAATTTGCAGGGAAATGGATGGCACTAGAGCAGATTATGCTTAGTGAAGCTAGCCAATCCCTAAAAAACAAATACCAAATGTCTTCTTTGATATAATGAGAGCAACTAAGAACAGAGCAGGGAGGAAGAGCAGGAAGAAAAGATTAACATTAAACAGATAGATGAGGTGGGATGGAAAGGGAGAGAAAAGGGAAATTGCATGGTAATGGAGGGAGACCCTCATTGTTATACAAAATTACATAAAAGAGGTTGTGAGGGGAATGGGAAAATAAACAAGGAGAGATATGAGTTACAGTGGATGGGGTAGAGAGAGAAGATGGGAGGGGAGGGAGGGGGGATGGTAGAGGATAGGAAAGGTAGCAGAATACAACAGTTACTAATAGGGCATTATGTAAAAATGTGGATGTGTAACCGATGTGATTCTGCAATCTGTATTTGGGGTAAAATTGGGAGTTCATAACCAACTTGAATCTAATGTATGAAATATGATATGTCAAGAGCTTTATAATGTTTTGAACAACCAATAAAAAAAATAAAAAATAAAAAATAAATAAATAAATAAAAAAGAGGGAAGAATCACAGATCCCCAAAGAATGTTTTTTTAAAAAACAATGTTTAACTTAATATCACGTTTCTGTTTCATGATTAGATTATGATCCCATGTCCTATTCAATTTTTTAAAAAATTTAGTTGTTGATGAGCTTTTATTTTTATTTATTTATATGTGGTCCTAATGATTGGACCCAGTCTCTCACACATGCTAGACAAGCGCTCTACCACTGAGTCAGAACCTCAGCCCAGAATGTCTCACTTGTGATGTCAGGTCTCCATGCTGTCTGCTCCTAGAGACATGTCACTCAAGTACCAGTCAGCCCTGACCTCTCTTACCTGAGCAGACCACAGAGGCTGTGTTTCCATGGGCACAGGAAGGAATACCCAGTGCAGTCACAGGGCAATTCCACAAGAAGGACTCAGACCCTGAGCAGTGGAATCTGTCTCTCCAGATCTCATCTCCTCCTTCCACAAAATACTCTCCCTTTGGGGTGGAGATGGCGACTCCACAGCCCAGCTGACGGAAAACTACATTGGCATTGGCCATATTCCAGTGGGAGGCACAGAGTGTTCTCCAGCCTCCAGAGGTCTTCATCTCCACTTGACCCTCACACTGAGAGCTGCCATTTTTCATGAGCCGAACATCTGTATATCCTGGTAGAAGACAGGGTTTAGCAACATCATACATTTTTCTTAATTCCATAGAGTGTATAGGGCAGTTAACATCCCTCTGTGATTCTCACCTGAGCAGACAACTTGCACAGTCCCTCTGTGAGGGCAGCTGCCTGCAGGACAGGGCACTCTGGGGCAGAACCAGAGGCCAGGCTCCTGCCCCTCACACTGGAACTCTTCAGCCCAGATCTGTTCACTATCCTCTCTGAAGGGTAGGTTCCCTAGGACAGATGCAAACTTGCCACACCCCAGCTCTGCACAGATGACCTGGGCTGTGGGTGATGTGAAATTCCCATCAGATACTGGAATCCATCCTTCTCCAGAATTCACTTCCACTCGCCCAGAGCAAGTTCCACCTCCTCCATCCAAACGCACAAATCCTTTGGAAGAAATTAACTAACAAAATTAATATCTTGGCATGGAATTAGTAGTTTCATGCACAGACATGCTTGAGAGCTTTTCTTTTCCCAAGGTGTGGGGAATGGATTAAACAGTTGGTATCAGAATGGGAATTCCTTGAGCAAGCATGTGAAGACAAATTTAGGAGGAATTATAAAGGTCAATTCTGAATGGTTGACTCAAGAAATGAACATGTATTTATATAACTATATCTGTGTGTGTGTGTGTGGTTCAATACATGTTTTTATTTTCTTATATATGAATATATTGTCCTTCATATTAAAAAGATATCTGTGTGTTTGTCTGCATATCTGTCTGTCAGTCTACCTTCTTTTTTTTAATGGGAGCTATAACTATCCACTGAATATGAACTAAAGTAAAAAAAAATACTAGGCTTCATTTCACAATTTTATCCTCAAAAACTTTTAGTTCAGTGTAAAAATTCCAACTAAATTAATATTTGTTAATGAAATAAATATTTCATATGTATCAAAAACTGACCATTTATACTTATTTCCATTTAGGGATGAGGAAAGAGCCCACTAAATAGTGTGAGAATGAAATAAAACCAGGTTATTTAGACTAACATAATCAGGGTTCTTTACATCATACTTCCTGTTACAGAAGACAGAATGTTAATTTAGAAGTACGATAGTATGATGATAAGTTTTTTTAAAAAAGGAAGTTATCTGGAGATTTGAGAATTTTTTGCCTGTTTCTTTTATTTCATTTTGAGGAATTATTTTGTTATTAATAATAATCAGTTGAATTGGAAGAAGAAAAAAATATATATCTATCTAAACTAATCAGGAAGGGATTTAAAGTAAGTTCAGACATTTGGGTAGATGTCTGGCAAGAGGAAGGAAAAACAATGTATTAGTAAGTTTATGTCATAAAGAAGTTCAGCAGGGAATTCTTGCTGAAGAGAATAACATAATCTGTGATTATTTTTCCAAAGTAAGCCTTCAAAATGGAATGAATATCAAAAGAATTAATCAAGTTTATTAAAATTTTTACTTAAAGTATTATAATTAGAATGCTCTCATTTCTGTCTGAAACTGATGTATTAACATCAAATGTGGATTTATGACCTTGTGACTACAAGGTCATTTTAATTTGTATTATTGTTACAGAGGAGTGAGGACAATCTTTCTTACTTAGAAAGTCACATGAAAATACAAAATTTCAAACTGAAATCACTAATCTTTAGGATGGTATGTTTTAAAGAGCATGAGACTTACAGGGTATCATAACAATTAGCTCTCAATATTGTTGTTCAGTGACAGGAAGAATAACATCTGTCTCCAGAACAGAAATCATCATTATACCATCTGCCTGTGGATGCAGCCCATTTCTTTTCCTCTGTGGATATTGATTTCTGTACACGGAGCCCAAAGGTCCAAGTCAAATTTGGATGTCCAACTAACTTTTCACCCCTAAACAGAGACTTATCTCTTTACTCTCTCCATAGTGTGCTGTCTGGAGCTCTAGGGAGGAATGAAGAGAATGGTCCTGTTGCCCCCAATGCTGCCATGCTATTTCACAACCTGAGGAAACAGCCTTCTAGGACAACACAAAACTGAAAAGGGACACAGGCCCTCAATGCTATGAGCTGCCTACTGCTGAGGTGGACTCAAGGCCCAAGATTCCTGTAATCAGCCACAGGTGATAACAGGTTCTTCTTGAGTCTGTCCTACCAGCACACAGGTCTTGCTCTGCCTATGAGCTCTGTCCCACATTTGAGGCCTCTAATTCTTACTGTGTGATGAGTATTCCCATGGTGGGCCTGGCACTGAGCTCCAAGACAAAGTCCTGTGCCAGCCCTGTGCCCTGCTCCTTAGCAAGTGGAGTCTTGCTTCCCCCTCCGCCAAGGCAGCTTGGAGGAGTGGTGGTGGAGACAGTCTCTTTGCTGCCTGACTAAACACAGTTCCAGGTTCTCAATCTGAGAGCACTGGTATAGCAACCAGTGTTGTCAGACTGTACAGGGTGCCAGGTTTCAATCTGGCAGACCTTGTCCTGGGTTTTAAGTCCAAGGCCTGAGCTCAATTTTTTCTAGTCCCCAAGAAAAATGCATCTCTCTCTTCATGCTGGGCTGCCTGAGGTTGAGATTGGAAACTTTTAATCTTCCTCCCCCTTTCTTTTTAATATACTAAAAGCAGGCACACACCTGGTTTATTGTCTCTTGTCAAGCTAGTTTGGTGTGTGAATAGCAGTTTAGTGTTGTTTGTGGGAGATCATTGAATAAGCATCCTGGCCCTAAACTATATGATCTCTTACCATAATAAATATGCAATGATATTTTATAATATTCAACATTGATTAGCCAGGACTGGATCACATTAACCTTCCTAACTATGAGTTTATACATATGTTGCTTTGCAATGAAAATATAGAGAGAATCTACTGTAGTAATGATGGAAGAAAAGCCTGTGACTCATTCACAGTTCTCTGGACCTTCTTTCCAATGTGCTAAGAATTCTGATGTATAAATCTGGAAAGAAGAATTGCAACTTTGCAGTACTCCAAAATTCTCCTGTGAGGTGTTCAATCCCAGCTCTGTGCCCATAAACCTACTGATCAAGTGCAAAAATATCTCTGGCTATACATATATAAACACTCAATTCAACTGAGAAAAGTAGAGTCTCATTCTTGCTTGTCTTTTGAAAAGTGCTGCAAACAGGGTGTATATGGTAATTTATGTGTAATCCTAAAAACAGTAAATTAGAGAAACAAAATTATGAAGATTGCTTTTAAGTGGAATCATCCTACAACAAACCTATATTATCAAGAAAGAGAATTGAGAAAGGAAAGGACGGTATTTGAAGTTTACAAGAAGGGAAACAAATGAAGCCCATCATCTTTAGCTATTTCAAACACTCAGGGTCTATGAAAGAACCTCTCTGTATTGCTCACTTCCTACTCCTCCAAGAATAAGACACTCACTTCCTTAGACCTTTTCATTCTCCAATATAGTGGGGAATTCACTGGCCGTACCTGAGCAGATGACTCCTGCATCCAACTTGTGTGTGCAGTAGTGTTGCCCCCAGCCTAGAGAAGGGCACTTCCACACATGGGACTCCTCGCCTGTGCACTTCACGTCATCCAGCCAGATGGGCCCTGATCCCTCCCCAAAGAATGCCTCATGCATGGCATTGAGGGCCTCACCACAGCCCATTTGTCTGCACACCACATTGGCATCGTTCAGGTCCCAGCTGTAGTCACAGACAGTGCCCCAGGAATGCTGATGGAGAATCTCCACTCTGCCTTCACAGCGACTGCCCCCGTCCACCAGGCGGAGCTGTAGAGTGTCTGAGGATAAAGAATCATGTCATTGGTTGCATTTACAAGGAAAATGAGAAGTGTTCTACTCCCTCCCACAAACTAAACCTTCATAATGCAGAGTTTGCTGAATAAGACATGAAGTGGTTACACTAGGGCAGTAGCTAAGTCTAAACAAGTAGGAAAATTAGTTGTGTAAAAAAAATAGAATTAAACTTATTGTAATCTAGTAAGTAGTCTCAAGTAGAAGTTAGGTAGGTACTATCAGAGTTAAAGTTGTTATTGGTAGAGTTCTTCATAAGGTCTGATAAAACATTTCTAGAAATGTCAGGATTTCTACTTTGAGTAGTTGAAAGTATCTTTTTTGTGAATGATTTCTAATATTTAATGTAAATGTGCCAGCCTCTGAATTGGTTTCTTATAAAGCATCCATGCTCAAGTGTCAATGGTTTGGTATTTGGAAGGATGAGAGCACAGGGGATAGAGGAAGGAACAAGGATGAGATCATCAGAAGTCTCAGGTGACCACTATGAATCCAGGAATAAAAGGAATTTATAGGCATTAAGACTGAAAAATGAATGGATCACAAGGAAGACCATGGTTTACCTCAAAATATTTCACACATGATTCTAGATTCCAGAGTTCATAACTGAATATTTAATTTAAAGTTTGTGTTCACTTTAGGTAGATTCAGCAATCTCCCCAAAAGATGATTTCAGCTGCAGACATTGCACAGATGCCATAAAGAATCACAGAATGTCACTTTTCCCCAAAATAAATCAAATAATGGCTTGAATTTCCTGTCAGGAGTTATTATTCAAAAATAGGCATTCTTAATGGGGAGGCAAATAGCAGAATAGAATTACCTTTGTTGTATCTGAGAATGAAAAGAGTCAGGGAACACAGGCAAACTGTATTCTGAGAAGAGAGAGAGGACTTGAGACTAATTAAAGAAATGGTAAGAATTCTAAATAACCCAGAGGAGCATTAAGGAGCCCAGAGAAAAGTACAAAGTAATTTGCAAGTTCAACTTCAGCTGCCTGAGTGAGGGAGGCAACCTGAAAGCGTAAGGTAAGCTGGAGAGTGCAGACAACCCAGATGGTGTCTTCAGAGTAGCAGTCTTAGCTGTGGGAGAAACACATGATTCTTGTAAGCTTTGGATCAAATTTGGGGCATTGTTCTGAGAGAGACTCCTCCTACACAACAAGAGAGCTTTAGAAAATTCATGACAATGCTAAGCGAGCTCTTGGAATGCTATAGCATAAAGCTATCTTGAGAAGTGACCTACAGTAGGGGATAAACTGTTCTGGGATTGGAAAATATAGATCAATCAATTCAAGGTCCCTGGGTCATCTTGCTACTGTGGTGGGTTGGAAAACATTAGTACTCTATAGTCTTAGATAGGGAGAGTGCCTGTTGCAACCATGCTGAGAGGATTGAGTGGCAGGTAAGGGCCTGGAAGCCTCATTAGTAAGTGTCCTTCCATCTGTGAAGAAGAGCTATTCCATGTGCATGTGCTTGCACATAGGGGAGAGAGCTCAGAGACGACATCTGATGATTCACCACATTGCTATATCCCCTCTCTAGGGTGGAGCTTAGTAGTTTGATTACTTATACCACTTTTTATAAGCATTCCAAAGATTCACCATAACTAGGACACTTCCATGGGCAATGACTAGAGGCCTCTGGAGCAAGTGTATGTCCACCAATTGGGTCCACAAAACACTGAAGAAAGGGCTTGTGGTAACTCTGACTTTTACAATTATTTTTACACAATTAATTTTCCTACTTATTTTTGTAAATTTGCAAACAAAGTACCTCCAGTGTTATTATATCATGCCCCATCAACATTCCCTAACCCTATATGGAAGGAAATGAGGATCACAGTGAAGCCAGCATACCGCACCAATCCCCAGAACATTTAGTGGGGAGAGGAACTACAATTGTTTTTTTTGCTGGCTACTAACTGCCCATACCTGATGCATTCAAATGTTAAATCACCTGGAAAGATGTGTCTCCAGTGTAAATATTTTACATCGAAAGACCTTTCGACACATTTTAAATTATGTATACCTTATAATATTTTTTTACTATTTAATTAATTTATTTTTAAAATTCTTTAAAGAAATTTTCTTTTTTTTCTAAATTCCCAATCTTCCTCCATATTTATTTTCCTTCTGTAATTTTCCTTCATGAATTACATTTTCTTTTATTAACTTTTGACTTTCTTGTTAATTTATTTTTCCCTTATCTAAGGTAGCTACAGTGTAAGTTGTTGTTGAGTGTGATTAATTATTACTGAATTTATGTAGCTTGTTTATTTTATGTTGTTGTTATTGCTATTGTTTGTTTTCTTCTTTCTGAGTCATGATGGTGATCATATATGAAAAGCACACTTCAAAATCTGTTAGAAGATACAACGAAGGTAACTACATAGTGGTAAGTTGAACAAACCATCAAAAAGATGTAATGATTATAAATGCATTAAAAATTCATATGGAACAGAACATACTATTTTGTAAAACAAATCTTATAGGATATAAAGGGAAAATAAACTTGAATACAATGCTAATGATGTCTTAATATTTCACTAATAAATTGGACAAGATATCAACAAGCAAACACATAGGACTAGAGTACATTATACGTCAAGTGAACAAAACACCTACAGAGTGTTCCACCCAACAGCTGCAGAATACACATCATATTCATTTGCAGGGCAGCACTCAGCTTTAGAGTTCTACTCTTCACAGATCAATGAGACCTAATCCTCCTGTAGTTTGATTAGGTCATGAAAACAGTAAAATTCATTCACTGAACATTCTTAGGGTTTTGGCTAGGTGTCAGACTGCTGTGGAAAGAGATCCTAAAGTGATCCAAGCAGCAGCATCAGTGAAAACTGAACATTCTTTTCTCATCTTTAAACAAATCCTCAAGTACTTATGGATAATTTATCATGTTCTACCATTATGTCATAAAATTTCATTTACCCAGAGGCCATGGAACAGATGTTTTGTATAATATATGATTTAGAAATCTCAATCTGCTATCAACTGTACACAGACAGGTGATCCTCACTTGTAGTTCTCAGGGATTGATGGACTCTTGCAAATGATGAGGTGTAAACAGTGCACAGTAAGGGTGTGGCTCAGATGCAGGTGTGCACTGCTCTACAAACCAAGATCACCAGATTCTAAAAGATGGGTATTACTGTGGCCTATCAAGGCCTTCAATTAGAAAGGTGTTCCTTTTATTACAATGGTTTAAACACAGTACTTGATTTTAATTTCAAAAGTACACATTTTTTTCTAATATTTCACTGGTTGATAGGAATCTGGAGATGAAAATTTTTCATCTTCTTTTCTGTTTCCAGATGACTGAGGTAAAAATACCACCAATTTAGTGAGCTGCCCTCCTCACACCTGTGTTTTTCATGCAAGAATGTATTCATGAATAGAGTGATGTGTCATATTCTGTGTGTTGTTCAGTCTGCACAATCTACAATCATGAATAAACATATTTCAGAATGTTATGATTGGCTCATCTAGACCTCTATAATATAGATACAAAATGATCAAATATATGTTCAGAGTAGCCCATCTTGAATACTAGGGAGTGAAATATGACATAGCATGAAAGTGGTTTAAAGGCCTATAGTGGTTTGCATTTACCTGCAATGCCCATTTTCCATGGTTTACTGAAACAATTGGCAGGCATCTTCCTCCTCTGATTTGTAAATGACAATTATAGTGGAAGTACGGCTTGGAGTTTTGAAACATATAGTAAGTCTACAGCCTGAGGCCTTTGTTTAGACATTGACATTAAACAATATATCTGGTGCTAGGTTTCTTAATGTTAATTTTCACTATGAATGATAGACACTCAACTAAAAGTGGTTTGATAATAATAAACTGTAGAGATCATAGAAAAGATGAGCTTCTAAAGAGGAAAGCATGAGGAATGGGGAGCTGATGCTTCTAGAACATTCCTTCCACATTTCCTTCCCAAATCCTGATTCTTTCATTTACCTTTGCTCTTTAGACATGTCCTTCTCACACAGATGATACTGTGGACCCCAGACTATATATTTGATCCACAAGAATATTTTAAACACGAGGCAGTGACTCCCACTGCTCCTGTGTTTGGGGAGGTGGTAGTTACTAATCTATCAGGGATAGTGGATTAGTAGTGCACCATCAGCACTTTGTTGATCAAGAGTGATTGTGCCCCAAAAGAAGAGACATTTAGCAGCAAATTGGGATGTATCTAGTAAATTTAAGAATATAAATCTAACAGGAAATATGTAGGACCTTTGTAAAAGCAACCAAACTGTTTTTAAACTTTTTATTCAAATTTGTTATCTATGACAGTAGAATGCATTACAATTCATATTATACACATAGAGCTAAATTTTTCCTATCTTTGGTTGTACACAAAGTTGAGTCACACCATTCGTGTCTTCACACATTCACTTAAGATAATGATGTTCATCTCATTCCTCTGTCTTTCCTACCCCAGTGCCCCCTCCCTGCTTCTTCCTCCCCTTTGCTCTATCTAGAATTTGTCTAATCCTCCTATGCGCCCAACCATACCCCATTATGAATCAGCATCTTTATATCAGAGAAAACATTCGGCATTTGGGTTTTGAGAATTAGCTAACTTCATTTAGCATTATGTTCTCCAACTCCATACATTTACCTGCAAATGCCATGATTTTATTCTCTTTTAATGATGAATAGTGTTCCATTAGACAAACTAAAGAAATTAAAGGGATACCGATAGGAAAAGAAGAACTCAAATTAGCACTATTTGCCAATAATATGATTCTATACCTAGAGACCCAGAAAATCCCACCAGAAAACTTCTAGAACTAATAAATGAATTCACCGAAGTAGCAAGATGTAAAATCAACACCCATAAATCAAAAGCATTTCTGTATATCAGTAACAAATCTTCTGAAAGGGAAATGAGGAAAGCTACCCTATTTACAATAGATCACAAAAAATTAAGTGGGCATCAACTAATGAAAG